GTATTGCTATAGTGAAGATTAAACGTTTATTGGCGAATGAATTGAATCAATCACTTGTTTTATTTATAGAGGAGATATATCTCTATGCTCAAGCCAAAAAATTTCATAAAATTTCCAGCACCTAATTATGTTACCACACAAATTTTGAATTTTTATGTAAAAATGGTATTTTGGATATTTCTCAATTACCAGAAAGAGTGAGGATAAAAAAATTTCGCCACATGTTAAGCACAATATGGACCAAAATAGTGCGTCAGGATTTTTCTTTAATTTTTATATTTACCGAGAAAACTGCAAAAAACTGCTTAAAAATCAAGTTGTGTGTTAAAATTTAAAATTTTAGCGAATAAAGAGGCATAACTAATAAAATACAGCACTTAATAACAATCCCTGACGCATTTCTTTACCACAAAATGTTACCATTAAAACAAGTGTAAAATTAAATTAATCCGAGTTGTAATCACAGAGAAATATCCATTTATACATCGGCTACTATGTCAGAAATCGAAACGGAGAAATTAGCGTTTTTCTATTTTTCACAATGAGTGACCGCCTGTGTGCAAAATGGGTGAACGTATGTAAAATATCTATTGTTAGTACTTACTGCGACATATCCATGACTAACTGACACCACTAAATTGGTAAAATGTTCCATGCACCTTGAGAAATTCTGAGAAGTTACGAGGTTACCATCGCAGAACGCGCGAACTCCGCTCATCCTGACGTCACAAAGCTAATATGTCAACAAACGCGCGCGATGTACTGCGTGTGTTGCAAGGTGTGTTGCGAGGTGTTAGAACTATTTTGGGCGTGGGATGCTTGTTAGATCACTAGCAGATGTACATGAATGTACATGAATACATGCAATGACAGCTGTAGCAGGGTTGACGCTTAATGATACCGGCTTAGTTACTATCGTGGTTGTATCATGTCGCTGACGTCATAATGACGTCAGCCGCTGCTTACTACACATGTACGCGGGTAAGCAAAAACGCTCTGACAGTTCACATGTACCGTTATATGGAGAAATTAGCATGTACACAGGTGGCACATAGTGTTAGCCATCGAATAAAGTTGAAAACGAAAAATCGATGAAATTTCATGCACAACGTGGAGAGTATCCTTAAGGAGTGAATGTTCCCCCTTCTTTTACACCTCTTGACCTTTGACCTTTGACCCCCAGCTTCGACATCCCAACTCGTTTTCGGATTACCCCCCCACTTCCCGAATATCGTGACCGTACGTCGAGCGGTTAAGATTTGTGCCCACCTGTTGACGCCCGGACGCCCGGACGCTCGGACGGACGATCAAGCGATTCTACAAGCTCCATCTGA